ATATATAAATTATCTTTAGATTTAGATAAATTATTCAAAATATATACGTATACATGTGTAACTGTCATATAATAATTAAATAATATAACATTATACACATATCAATAGTTTATTAAATCTGATAAAATTAAAAACAATTATATAATAATTTTATTCAAATATATCAAACAAATCGCGAGCACAGGACATGAATACGTTTTTCCAATTAAAATTGTGGCAAAAGTATAAAGTGCATTTAAAAAATGTAGAATGCAGTTATACAATACAGAACGAACGTACGTAACGCATATATCGGTTCGCTTGTTCTCATGGATGAATGCAAAAAAAGGAACAAGAGGAAAATTTGCCACAATCATGCTTTTCTCCCAAAAACTCTTTAGTAAAAGAAAAAGATATATATGGCACACAACACCTGGTGTGTAACCTCTACTTCCGTCTCTGTTAGACGAATGCGAAAGCAAAACGCATCAACCTGCGGTTACATCATATCATCCATATAAATGAAAGCTATCGGCAAAAAGCTCTTTCTTCAGTGCAACGGACGTTCGCTTTGCGCGCAAGTTTTCGAACGGGGGAATTGAGAACGGATTGTTCGTGACCAGATGCGTAAACGCGTCTCGGAAACGTGTGCCCGTCCAGCTTTTCTCCTGTCTCGTGTAAAATCGGCACGTTTGCGAAAATGGAGTCTCGCAAACGAAAGAATCGTGATCGAACCCATTGTTGTCTAGTACAACCGGTTCTCAATAACGGTTCTCAAGTCGGCTGCTATACAAATTTAATGATATCAACTCGATACTACTTCTTTCATCTTTTCTCCAATCGTTTTTGTTCCATCTACATGTTTGCGGTTTTTGTAAATTTCGCGCTATAAACAGCAGTTCACGGCACTATGTAGTGTTAAAAGTAGTAGTAGTAATACTTGATAATCGTTTTCTAAAAATTTTTAACTAATAATTCGCTGAAATTATATTAGAACTTTCTATTTAAGGATAGAAGAAATGTTAGAATTTATTAAAATTCAAAGATTTTTAAATGTCATCGTACGGTTTTGGAATTCATTCATGTAACTTCAACATATGTACATATATTTCAATAATGTCATTTCAGATGATACTATTTGTTATTTCAGTAATATATATTTTCATTTAACTTAAAATAATTACATTTCAATTAAATTTATTAATCATATTTTGATTAAATTTACAATATATTATGTCATAATAAAGAATAAAAAAATGTATCATAATGTTAACATTTTCACGTTTTAAAGTTTGCTTTAATGTAACAATACTTAATTCACAAAATGAGTTATAAATCTTTATGCCATCATATATAAAATTATACAATACATTGAAAAATTAAATTAAAAATTAAATAATTATTATTTCACAGTATACATTATTTATCGAATATTTGTATTGCGTAATAAACTTAATATTAATTGTCTGATATTTATTGGAAATAGTCAAATTAAGAATACGAAAAAATATTTTTAAAAATCTTTTAATTATTTATAATTTTAATAACTAGGCAATTTTAATAACTAGGCAAAAAATAACGAAGATATTTATGAGCTCTCTTTTCATTTTTTGAATGAATGAAAAAGCTCTGAATACAAAGCTGCTTTTATTAAGAACTTTTATAAATATTTTGCTTTAATTAATTCAAGGAATCTTTAATTTTACGTATTTTCAGTATTAATATATTGCATGGTCAATGCTAATTGAATTAGACGAAAAACAATGAAGAACACAATGAGAACGAATATGAACGAATCAATATATATAGCGTGAATAATTCAAAATCTGGAATTTCAGACGTGATTGCGTCATTTATCAGATAAAGATAACTTAATGTGAGTGTATTTATTACGTAAATACGAGTTACAATAGAATGCTTTCAACGCACTTGCTGAAACATTGGAGCAATCCCTTGATTAATGTCTGCGATACTGAGGATATAACACGGCGAAACCACTTAGGATGAAATGAAGCTGTCAAGCAGGAGGCCCAGCTCAATACATGAGTGCCTTTGTGCTGATAAAAGCGAGAATTCGAAAGTTAAAGGGACTCGGTGGAATGCGCTTTAACCATCTGATGCACTTTGGGAGTCAGATGGACCTTATACTTAGCACAATAGTCTCATTAGCATATAATGTATGTTAAAAGTATTCTCCTAACTCTACTTATAAAGTGATATTTAATTGGATATTATATAAATAACCATATTTATACATAATTCTTTCTTTTATAAATCTGAATAACTGAAATTCTTGATTTATTTAAAAAATATCTCAAGAGCTAAAAATGTTAAAATTTATAAATTTTGAGATTTACAAATAAATACAAATATATAAAGTTTGTAGCTTAAAAGCTTCATTATTTTACAAACATCCAAAAATTTTACAAATCGTCTTGATAATCAAATACACTGAAAATATACAAATAAAATATGTATGTAGGAAAATATATATATTATATATAATTTAATAAAATCATAAAGATTTTTGTGCAATAAATGTTAAAATTAATTGCTAATAAAATTGCTAATAAATATATATATATATATATATATATATATATAAGTAATAATAAACTATTACTATAGAAAAATGTATTATTGTAAAAGTTATTTGATAAATAATAGACATATTTGGCGCTAATATCGATAAAAAATATGATAGCGTTCCATTGATTTTATAATAAAATATACAAATAAATTCAATGTTTAAACAAATAGAATAAATAATACTTCATATGCATTTAATCTATAAACTGATTGGCTATAATGTATCGTAGACAAAAAAATTATTTTAAATAGGACTATTGAAAATTTTTTATTTTTCTTTATGGAAAGAATATAAAATATTATTTAACAATTTTACAATTTATAATTAAAATTAATTTCTGTAAGCAAGTATTAATTAGTGTCTTTAATTAATATAAAACTTTCAATAAACTTCTAATAAACTTTTAAACATTCTAAGAAACAAATAGTAAATTCTTATCGTTTTAAAGATATATAAATAATATTAATGTATTTAAATATATAAATATATAAATATATAAATATTTAATTTATATCTCGAAGTGAAAATTATTATTTTTAAAAATAGATATTTTTAAGAAAAATAAGATTAATATGGATTCTCTTCTTGTTTATTATAAATCTGAAAATCTAAAATAAATTAAAGAGGAGCTTTCTAGAGAAATCTCTTTTCAACTTTAAAAATCGTGAAATACTACATAAACTATTCAGTATTCTTTTCAAGCACAATGATATTTGTAATGATTAAGTAATCGCGTTTTATTCGTGCGTTTAATACGGGGATTCAATTTTCGAGTTGTTCGATTAACGTTCACATACCGCGCTCTGGATTCAGTCTGGCAAATAATCTCCGTGCGAACGACGGTTGTCATTCTCATTCGCCAACTAAACTTGGAAACTACCGATTGGTTATGGCTTCCTTTTTAAGCTTAAGTAATTACGTAATATCTTGCCAAAAGATCGTTGACACTTTCTAACTTGCTCGGCATTAAAAAGCGGGATATCGACAGCTTGGCTCGCGTGTGAACGTTTTCGGGGGAATCTTCTTTTCCGATGAGAACAGACGCTGCGGAATTCGATGGAGAATTTAATCCAGTCCCAAACGGAATTGAGGGAGAAAAAGATTGAGAGAGGCTGAGAGTGAGTGAGAGATGGAGGGTGAAAGGGAGGAGGTGGGGAAAGGTCGATGGAAGAACTGCGCGCGCGCGTTTGTAATTTCTTTTGGCGGATCATTTTTTAAGCTCCTTTGGGACGAATAGTTAGAGAGGGAAGGCGACGAGTGCAGAGGTGGGCAATCGGTCGCTTGCTCTCCTCGGGGAAAACGGCCGAAGTCGAAGTTGCCGGAAGGATAGTATTATTTAAATTGGATTCCGCGATTCTGCGAGACTTCGATCTACCGTCCGCAACTTCGAACTTCGTCACTTTTTCGTTCCCACGAGTTTACGCGCCGCTTATTAAAATCCCTCATGGCTGGGACGGAGCCGATTTCGAACAGATATTTGGGGAGGTGCAGCCGCTAGCATCTTAAAGTTTGCTCTTTATCCAGAACTTTGTGTCGCAGAGAGTCTAAAAGATGTCAAAAAGACGTCATAATCTTTTATGCAATTCTTAAAAAAAAAAATGTCTTTTACATATTTTTATGTTTATTTAAAGTGAATAAAGATTTTAATCCTTATAAATTCAAGTTCCTATTTATTACAAAGTTACTTTACAAATCCGTTTAATAACCAAATGTTCATTGATAATTTTAATAACTTAAATGCCCATTACAAAATTGAAAGTGACTTTAAAGAATTTATGGAGCTCTTATCAACTTGAGTGAATGCATTGAAACGAAAAAGTTACAAAATACCGTGCAATGTCATCTCTCTGTCTATTTCAATCAAATAATTTTATTTTTCATTTGTTGCAGTTGCAACATATTGAAAAAGTGTGAATAATAGCAAAGATCAGGATATTAAAATATTGCAAATTTTTATGTTAAATGATTTAATAAATACCATAAAATATTAATTATTCTGATACAATCTGCCTTTCATCTACAACTTCAATGTAATTAAATCAACACCAATCGATTAAAATGAATAGATTTTGCAAATTGAAATCGTATATATGTATCGTGAT